AAAAATGTACATTTTTGGAGGATATCTCGGCACTCAGAATATGCATTACGATGATTTGTTCTCGTTTGATCCGTCAACGAATCACTGGGAGAAGATTAAGGTGAGTACCTCTTTCTTGATTATGACTATGGTGATAACTACCTGTATCGTTCCATTCTTTCGAGCTGTCAATTTTGGGTTCTATTTGTTCGATTTTATTGTTGATCTTCAATACAAAAAATGGCCGTGTCTGGCGCGGTCTTTTTGAATTGCACAGTAAGGTGTACCTGTCATCCAGTCGATTCATAAGAAACCGATGCAGAAATCTTTTTACAGACGTCCGGTCGAATGCCATCTGCTCGTCGCCGTCAGTGCACTGTGGTCGTTGGCAGCCGAGTCTTCTTATTTGGTGGAACTATGTACGTGTTTAGAACGAGTTGTTTCTGTATTCTTTTTTTGTTTATTGAAAGATCAAATTTAGTTTCTTATTTCACAAAGTTTTATTCTTATAAGAGTTCAATTCTGAAGATCCCATGAATGTCACATTTGTCAAAAAATCACTGGAACACATTGGTTTTCGTAGTGAGCCGCGTCTTCGACTGAGCCAGTAGAACCTTATCTACTCAGTTATGAGCAGTTTGGGCACCTTGCATATTTATGGAGTCTGTGGGCGATATTGCCAAACGGTAAACTTGTGATCGAACTGGTTCGTTTGATAGGGGCAATTGTAGCTTTTCTATAACGGACCAGCGAAATAGCAATCATCATAATGCAAACATTTTTCGAATGTTTGAAGTCACATGCTTTGCTTGTTAAATTGGAAACATGATTTAGGAGTTGTGAAACTTCTGTCAGTGCTGTATTGCGCGTATTATTGTGCTTGCACACTATTGTTTCAGGCCGGTTAAGAACAGCTCCGGTTCACCCTCCGGTCTCGCTGATCTTGCGGACCTTTACGTGCTAGACTATGGTGAGTTTTGAAGCATTTATTATTGACTTTGTAAGCCAATACTTCCATCGTGGTACACAAGGATATGTGCTACGATGTACATAGATCCCTGACGGCCAGCTGGAAGGCACGCTCCAGTCTTTTTCAGAAGCTGATCGCTTTGTCCCATATCAGAACGTCCCATCGCATTTCCATCGCGATCTATTTGTGTACTCCCGTATTTAGTCATCCATTGAAAAGGTGTCGAATTTCAGCACCTTCACTGAAACATTTGGCAGCGGGTGTGGTGCTTCGCTACAACTTCCACAAAGCATTTGCAGATTACATTCCACGCGATCTCAAGTAAGCGTATTTTTCAATTTCTTGATTTTCTTCGCATACTTGTAATTGCAACTTTGAAACTGTAGATATTGGGCTTATTCGTCACTCCCCTAAGTAATTTGATAGTATGTGAGTCTTGAAGCTTTTCTGTTACGAATGAGGTGTTTTCTTCAAAATCGAGCGGTATGCTTAATGCTGTTCTCCACCATACCATTTGACGATAGAAGGAAGTGCTCAACAATTTTTTTGATCATTTGTGAAATAGAGACTTTAGGAGGAGAAAATAGGTTTAAAAGTGCACTGACGGTTAAATTTCATGAATTGTATTCCTGAAGAACTTCTGCGCATTGAACATTGCCAAAGTGATTTTGTGCCGTTCATATTGTTTTCGCCACTGAAAACATCCACATATCTGAGGTTGGGGCCGCGCTTGCAAAATTATATCGGTCCTCCACGGCCAGAAAAGTCAAAAAGCTCTTGGTTGTCATTGTGCTAATGGAAGGTTTTAATTTCCTAGAAGTACTGAATGTTTTGCTGGTTTCAAAAAATGTTCATTCCAGCCGCGAATTATGGGCGATGACGACTCCGAACGCGATCTCCACTCCGCTCTCACAGCGACATGATGCTACCGGATAAATACCGTGGCGTGGTATTGTAGACAACGATGTCGAGTGCACGTCGCCAATAATGTTTAACAAATCACTAACAGGGACGCTGCGACCTGTGCTCATCGGCATCGCTTCATATCATTTCGTTTAATCGGTCCTTATCGTTTTCTACTGCTCAATTGCTTCGCTTTCATTGTATCGTTCAATTCAGCATCATCAGGAACGGTTTCTATTTTTTCGCTTCTTTCTCTATTTCTTCATTTTCTTGCTTTCATTCTCTAATCCGTATAATTACAATTAAGTATGAGCTAATTTCTCTTACACGAGATTCGATACTATTTGTGGTTATCGGTCGATTAGTACTGAATTGATCGCGATTATCGTTTGTGTATTTAATCATATCAGCCACAATATTAACTTTTACGGCGAAACTTCTACGGCTTACACGTCAGCGAGGCTCAGTTTTCTTTTTATGGAAAGACAGTGTCAGTTGGGTGTCCCTTGCTATGAAGTAATGTAATGTTTGTAGGGTTATCGATTGCAGGTCAAATAGGTTATTTTAGTGGACGTGTCGAATATTCTCTTTTCAGTACGTGACTGACACCGATTCCTCTTTCTTATTTCTTCATCACTAACGTGTATCGAAAAAATCGTGTATGATTTGTGTTTTTAAGATGTCTAGTCTTAATTGTCTGTGTCTGTTATACCGATTTCTAATCCTTCAAATCAACAATATCCGTGTGTCTGTTTATGATTTGATAGTTATCCTCAGTGTATTATACGGGCACACCTGATCTGTACAAAAACGTGCGGTCGACGGGCATTCTTCTGCGTCTCAACCGACCGCAATTGCACTCGATCGGAAACAGACGGGCAGAGTCACGACCGCACGCTTCGCAAAAGTCAACCGCGTAACACCTCTTGAGGTGCTGTGCACATTAAATCGAAATGATTAATGATTGCTCGATCCTGAACTTTTCAATGCTCTATGAAACGCCATTCTATGTTAGGTGTTTTTCCTTTTGTACACTTTGTTTTTTTTTTCTGGTCGCCATCTATTAGTTTACTTCTAATCTTTATATGGTTTTATCGTGTTTTTATTTGTTTCTCCATGATATTTCTACGTATTTGAAGTATTTCACTCTTTATAACGTGCCTTCGCTCACACATTGTATCATATTTTTTAGCGGACTTTCGCCATTGATGAGTTTCGCCTCAAGTACTAGATTTTAGTGTTTAATAAGAAAGTTTTAATCCTTCTTGACTGAAAACCAGTGATTGAAGAGCATTGACAATACGTTGCTAGCGTGATATCTTAATGAGAGGCCTTGACAAACTCTGCTAGGCTGGTGTCAGAGTCCGCGATCCGTCGCGCGATTCGCGCGAATCGCAAAAATTGCAAGTGCCCCATTTGAACATTTGAAACACTGATATGAAACAAGTAGAATCATGAACAGTCGTTGTTCAAGCGTCACTACCAAGCAGAAATGGAGACGGGGTGAAGAGCGGTATTAATCGAGGTACTCGCTATTTGCGCGAATCGCGCGAGGGATCGCGGACTCTGACACCAGACCCTACTTGGTTCTTGCCTATAGCAATATACCGGTAAAACTGCTGGAATGGAGGATTAACAATACGTTGCTAGCGTGATATTTTAATAAGGGGGGTATACTATACTATTATCCATATGTATTTTCGAGCGTTTTCCGTTTCTTTTCCTTTACTGGGTGGTCTATCAGCAGTCACTTGATTCTGTACTTGCAACCGTAGGCACGTCGGCAATGGCGCACGTCCACCCTCGCGTTATCGGGGTCTCTCCTCGCGACGCTCTCGTGTGTTGTTCTCTTGCTTTGGAGTATACTGTTATCCATCGGCAGTTTGGAGCGTTTTCTGTATTTTTACTGGCAGGTCAATCAGGGGTCTTCCGAGAGGCCCACGCTGCGAAGGAAGAGACGCAGACGCAGCAAAGGACGAGTCGCAGCGCTCACTGTAGCGGTTAGGCGTCAGGTTAAATAGAGTGACCATACTACGTCTCATATCGCACAGCACGCGCTGCGACTCGTCCTTCGCCGCGCGATGGGCCTCTTGGGAGACACCCGTCAATCAGCAGTCTCCGATTCATATTCTACCCATATATCCGCCCTGATTCTGCTACTGTGGAGTGTACCTTCAAGTCTGTGTACAGGTATACGCTAGGGGGGGGGGGACTCTTGAAATTGAAAATTGTCGGCAATTGGGAGAGCAGTCAAAATGTTTTCTGATTTGTGTGCGGTTTTGCTTTGCTCGATAGGAATGGGAATGCAGGTATCTTGCTCTGCAATCGAAGCAAAGCAAAGTTGTGACTTAACCTTTTAAAGGAATCTTGCGCGGAAAAATCATGATTCTATTTCAGCCATAAATCACTGGCTTGAGACTCATTATCCACGATAATAGTGAAAAGAACTGAAGTATTGCTTTCGTTTTGATTAGAAATTCGAAAACTCGAAAAGGCTGCTACGCGTTCGAATTGCCCACGGACGTCTTTCACGAATGCTGGCGACGGGGATGCTCAAACTTGGTTCTTGGAGTGCATTCACTAGAAGCTCTTTCTGGCCTTCTGCTTCGTTGCATTCACATCTTACACTTCTACTCCATCCTATTCCATCGATCGATTTGTCTCCACTCTCCGAAATCGCGCGCTTTAACCCGATTCTCTCATTGCGTCGCCTGGTACGTAGCCGGCCAAACGCCGTCTTCTTTCCATGCCTCGCCTGGCTCTGCCTCCTGGTCCTTCGATGGTCCATAACGTGTAGTTTTTGTACGTTTGTTTCTCTTCAGAAACCGAATCTTCATGCGTGAAACTTTGTGTGCTATTTCCAGTGATCACAACTGACATATTCATGTTAGGAAAGAGTGCAAGAATTTTCCGCGCAAGATTCCTTTAACATTCCAACTCTTGCTGCGCCACTAAATAGAATCGGTTGTCTTGCATTATTTCCATTCTTAATAACAAATTCATCAGCAATCTTTTCTCGAGCGACAGAGATCATGTATTTCGAGTGTGGAAAATTGCTGGGATGCTTGATAGAACAGGCGACAAAATTCTACAGAGGACACATATAACAGCAGTTCGCAGTGTGTTAAAGGAGGCACCCAGGCAACTGCGAACGATGAGACCGTGAAGGCCACTAATTGTTTGATGAATCGTGTGGTCGGCCATGCAGTTGTTGGTACATAGAGTGAATAATTCACTGCTGATTCACAGCTTGCCGCCGTGTCATATAACAGCGTTAGGAGCTGTTCGATCTCACGATGGTGCCTGTGGCTCACGTTTGGGGTTCAATCTTGTCACCTAGCGAAATGAGGGCGCAATGTAATTGGGGAAATGTAGGATAGTGGTATAGAGGAGTATTAAAAGTATAGAACCTTCTCGGTTCTTTCGGCTGCCACGCGGTTAACTTATTGTGCCGTGCAACCCCTCAAACTTGGGTAATCAAATTTTGATGCAGTATTTGTTATCTTGAATCATACTTGGATGAAGATCAAAATCCTCTCTATATACATATAATACCAGCAATGAAAGCCATGCAAAATGGCGCAAACGAATCCGGAATGGCGTATTTTCCACATGAGCGAGTCGCCCTAATCTTTTTGAATCCAAAAGTTGTGAAGAAGGTTGAAAAGTCGATTGCGAGAGAGAGTGTGTCGCAAGGCGAGGTTTTTCGCGAGATAGTATTGGTATTCCCCAATCTCAAAAGGGACGCTCGCAGAAAGAAGATAGCAGTAGAAACTGCGGCTCGTTTTAGTCCGCGTTTATTTATCCGTTCCTCTGAGAGCTCTGAACATTCCACAACGTTGCCCTCGTAGTTAGGGCCGATAATGCTTCTCAGCTCAGCTAGCTACTGCGGAAACATAGGTAGACAGCATAATCTGATAGTGTGAGAGACAACTTGGACTTTCTCCCTTTGCACGAACTCGCGGACTCCGCATAGATATCGCGGAAGCGATGGCAGCTCTGTTGAGAGTGATCCATTTTGCTTATACCAGAACACGACCAAATGAGTATGAATATGAAAATGTTTGTTACGGCTGTTTTGCGCCACAATGCTCCCCGAACTGCCACAGGAGCTGAATCGAGTCCGTTTCGGTTTTAATGCGCTCGACATTCACCTGTCTTCCTGGCCAGAAATCCGTCTTCGGCTCATTCAAAGATGGTGAAGATCTAGCGGTGTTCAAGCCAGTTTTTATCCCTCTTTAGGCCAGATATCATCTAAAGGTGATCCAATGAAATTTTGTCTGGTTATCTGAAAAGCACAATAACAATCTGAAGAGCAGGCGTTCAGTATGCGTTAAGCTCCCAACACCGATCGATTATGGCACGCGCAAGGGAGCCTTCTTGCCGAATTACATCAAAAAGGTTAGACTTCGAGAAGGGAGTGTACCCAGTCGAAATACAGACGGACCCTCAGGGTGCGCGACAACGCACCCTGAGGGTCCGTCTGCATAGGGGTACTGAGTATTCCTCGCAGTTCATTATTTCCCTCTGAGAAGAATACTCAGTACCCCCATTCAGCACGCACTCCCTCTTAACTGCATTCAAAAATTGCTGGTTGAAAATTTTCATAGTAGAATAAGTGCAAATTGACAAAATAGATTTATTGCTAGGCTGACTTTGTCTGTGGTTTACGTGAAGATGAAACTTCTTTGAAATTCGTAATTTATTGGTACAATGGGGACTATGTGAGTTTTGAATATCTTTAACTCACATTCCATAATATATTTGAATCTCGAAAAAGTTGCAGGGGTCGCCCCAGTCTCACACAACTTGGTCTGAGACGAAATTCCTAATTTATTCTTGCTGCTTCCATTTCAACCCCCACTCCTACTGGAGTCGCTTGATCAGTTTCAGGCTCACTTTGGTGTACAAGAATACGGATAAGTATGTAAATTGCCCACAAAAATCTTGTACAAGCCATCTCGTATTTAAGTACCATTGCACTCCTGAAAATGTTGGAATGCGGACCGCATCACGAAGTCTATGATTGTCTT